AAATAAAAATAAATAACTAATTAATAAATGGGTTGACTATATGTGTATGTAGGTTATTTGTTCATTGTCGAGTGCTGACGGAACGAAAGAGGTGAGAATGAGAATCTTGTACGAGATTCAAAAGTTGTAAAGGAAGAGATTCAAAACAGATAAAGGGGTCCCAGATTCTGGAAACAAACACTCAAAGAGGCCTTTGAAAAGTAGAGGTAATGTTTGTGAATGGAATGTTGAATAGAGGTGTCAAAATCACAATTCACCCGATCCGATTTGAAAAATATACGATTCAGATTTTAACTCGCGTGGACATAATAATTTAGTATGACTCATGTTTAAAAATTAACCCGACTCAATCCGACCAGACTTAACCAAACCCGATCCGAACACCTGAATTGACACATCTAATATTGAATGACATTCTCGATGGTTATATTTTCGTTCTTGTTGAAGTGATGTATTTAAGGCAGTATTATTCATCATTAGAAATTTTGGTAGAAAAAAAAAGGTTGTGTGGGAATCCACAAGATTATCAGTATCAAATGATAAAATTATATATAAATCAACAATTTTTTTTATTAAATATGAGTTCATAGTTATTGATATAATTACGAAAATGTCATGTTGATCGGATGTTTTTGTTGATTTATTTATTGTTTTGCCACCTGATACACGAATATCAACGTGTTAAATTGGGGCTCCCTCAATTTATGTGGTGTATAAAAGTAATTGTTATGAGATTAAATATATATAAAAGTAAGTGTTATGAGAATATATATATATATATATTATATATATATATATATATATATATATATTATATATATATATATATCATATGAGACCACCCGCCTTATGTGAGAACCCTATTTTATGTGAGGACATATTACAACCGTTAGATCAACTACATCCAAGGGTCATAATACAACCCGGTAAAACAAACAAAACAAAACAAATTTATTTCAAAATTTATTTCCTACGTTTTTTCTCTCTCCTCCTTCTTCTTTTTCGCTCATTTTTCTCTCTCCTCCTTCAATTCTACGGTGTTCTACTCTGCTGCTCTCTGTTTTTCATCACAAGTTCTTCAATCTTCATCAATTTTTCGTTAAATGTGAGTCTATTGTTTATACATTTGTTGTTTTTCAATTAATTTTAGGTTACATTCATTGTTTTATTTTCGTTTTGATATTCGTTTAATTTTTTCTGATTTTAGCTCATTAATTTTAACATGCAATGCGTCGATTATGTTTCATTTTGTTATTTTTTGTTGATTTTTAGTTTTATTTCGTTTTCTTGAGTGATTATCCAGTAAATTTTAGTTTTATTTTGCCTGAATTTTGGTTTTACTAAGTGTTCTTGTTTTGGTTTTGTATTTGCGATATTATGTTGTTTTGTTGCGATTTTTGCTTGATTTTGTTGCGATTTTTGCTTGATTTTCGTTTTGCTTTTCGTTTAATTTGTTCTGATTTTAGCTCATTAATTTTAGGTTACTTTGTGTCGATTATCTTTTAGTTTGTTTTTTTTGTTGATTTTAGTTTTTTTTGTTTTTTTTTTTGAGTAATTATCAAGTTATTTTTAGTTTTATTTTCTCTGAATTTAGGTTTTTACAAGTCTTCTTGCTTTGGTTGTGTATTAATTTTAGGTTACTGTGTGTCGATTATCTTTTAGTTTGTTATTACTGTGTGTTTGAGTCATTAGTGACCATGACTCTGTTCAACTGTGTGTCTGAGTGTATATTGACTCAAGGCTGGGGTCCCAAGGGGCAAGGTAGTCAAGGTACTCAAGGCTGCTGATGGTGATATTGTTTGTGCTATTATGGAATTGACCACCTGATAAGTTTGCGTTCTCTTCTTTTGTGTTTTTTGATGCTTAGTTAGTCATTAGTGCTAGGTGCTGGATAACTCTGGGTCTCTGACGAGCTATATACTTTGTCGTATACTCTGGTAGTAACTTTAGTCCTGGCATTCTTTCCTTACCATGAATTCTTACTACAATCTTCTTAATTTCTCAATGATTAATGTTGCCCTATTCCATGCTTTGTGTACTTGGGTCAATGTTTAAGGGTGTCTTCTTTCGTCTGTATATTCCTGTACCTTGCTCTTTGCAGGTTTTTAAACTGGTTCTTTCTGTACCTTGAACGTTTAATGTAATGACTATGCCCAGAACTGAATTTGGGTGGTTTGTTTTATGTAAATAGTGGGAGCGTTGAATGTGTTATATTATCTAACCAGTAAAGTCGATGGTTCCGAGTCTTTTGTAAGGTCCTCCATGATGTGTAATTGCACCTTTATGTCATGTAGTCTACCTAACCTGCTGAATTTTGTTTAATCTCCTGACATTACTGAGCTTTTCTGCTTGAAATATTACATCTCTGTAATACATGTAGCTGTTTATATTTTTATTGCAATCTAGAGCGCTCTATCACTATTCACTAGTTGTTACACTACCTTTCCATCATATTCCTTTCGGGAAAGGACTTTTGGGGCGATATAGGCCGGTGTTCCTACCGTCGATTTTGGTTGAGAATGTAGCACTGCAGACTATTATAATTAACAAAGATTAGTCATGATTAGTAATTGATTATAAACAAAATGATAGATTCAGAGGAGTATCCCTGCCTTAGAGTAGCCAAAGTCGCAGATTTTGAGACGCGATTTTGAACTGCCATCTAAGAGAGTGTTTTTTAAGCTTAAGATCTCTATGACAAATTTGTTGCATTCAGGAAAAAAAAAAGCATTATTAGCCTTGTTTATGTGTATAAAAAGCTTAATTCATTTGAAATTAAGCTTTAATAACAGAACAAAAATCTAATATCATAGAATACATATAATGAAATGCACTCCATAATTACTCATTCTCTCCTGTTTGTTTTGTCATTTATGGTCTTGCAGTAAATGGAATTTACTCATTTAAGTCTACTGATTTTGTTTCGGATGACAAGTGGTTGTAGGGTATTACCACTGCACTTGAGGATAGATTTGGGGTTGGAATGAGGTGGGAGGAATGTAAGATGGGTATGAAGCATGTGAGAGTAGGTTTACTGACTAAATGTAGTTTCTAGGCTGGTTAAAGCAAAAAATTTGCTTGTCACTTAAAGAGCATCTATGTTTGATTGCTCATTTGACAAATGAGCATCTATGTTTTTGCTCATTTGACAAATGAGTATCTATGTTTTTGCTCATTTGTATAAAATTACCAACTAATTATTTACTGTTTTTTTTAATTGTTTTGTATGAGCAGGGAGTCTATTGAAAAGGAGCCTGCTGCCGATGTTGGTTCATCAGGTGCTACTGCCGATGTTGTTTCAGCAAGGCCTGCTGCTAATGTTGGTTCAACAGGGCCTACTGCTGATGTTGGTTTAGCAGGGCCTGCTGCTGATGTTGGTTCATCAGACGTATTAGTTGGTACTAAAGTTAAAGGTAAAAAAGGTTGAAAAAGGATTGAAAGAAAAACAAAAGATTAAGCTGGAGGAGACGAAATCCAGCAACGAAGGGGAAGATTTGAAGTCTCATGTTTATGGGACATTACATAGTCGGATGTCCCCTTCATCCATCGTTCGAGTTATTGAAAAATGTTCAGAAAATCAGTTTGAAAGCTATTAGAGCAATAGGATTCGGGTCTATGGAGTTCTTGAAGGTGACCCAACTGCCTTTGCAGTTGGGTTTATGGTTGGTTCATCACTTTGATGCTAACACATGCTCTTTAAACATTCCAGATTTTGAACCTTTTTGTATCACTGAAGAGCATGTGCATCAAGTACTTGGGCTGCCAATGGGTGGCATAGAAATTGACAAAAATAATTTTTCCAGAGATAAGAGAGTGATTCAGCAATGGAAGAAGCAATTCAAAAGCAACTCACTCTCTATCAAAATAGGGGAGCTGAAAGAGTTTCTGAAAGAGCATAACTCAGATGGTCTTATGTTCAAAAGGAACTTTGTAGTGCTATGCGTTTCTACATTGATGGATGGTAAACTTTTTATTTTTATTTTGCTTATTTTTAGTTATAGTTAGCACTTAGCAGTTGTGTGCTATATATAGCAATTATATTATCTAAGTTGTTGGTCATATATGTATAGAATCAGTTACTTGAAACTATACATCATTAGATAGAGACTGTTGACACTTTCAGAATAAGATATATATATATATATATATATATATATATATTATATATATATATATATGTATGTATGTATGTATTTATTTTTTATTCTATGTATTTATCTTTTGGGCTATCTAAGTAGTTTGTATAATTTGATGGATTATTGTTGTTAGTCAATGATGAGATGGGTGAACAAATTTGGAATAGGATTTGGTACATACTTCATATTAACATACTTGTCAAAAAATTTCAAGTTATATTAAAAATTAATTATATCATCAGGAAAAGGTGGAGAATCAACATCATGGTTTTAAATTTTATAGGAGTTTGCTCATTTTTCAATTTTGTTTGCTTATTTATATTATATTTTGTTCATTTAAATTTCCTTTTGCTCATTTTTCTTTTGTTTTGCTCATTTTTTTGTCAGGGAAACAAAATGTGAATATCAATTCTGGTATTCTCACATTTCTTTCTGATGTTGATAAAATAAAGGACTTGAATTGGTGCAAGTATATCCTTGATTCACTTGTGAAGGCCAAGCTTTTCTGGGAAGAACGTCAAACTGGTTCTTTTTCCTAGGTCTTTACTGTTTCTTATGGTATTACTTTAATTTTTGTTGTTTTTTTAATGTAGTATTTTTTACTTATTTGTTGATTTTTAATTTACTAATTATTTTTCTTACTTGTTTGTAGTTTTTATGTATTAATTGTTATTTGTTTAATTTTAATGTACTAATTTTTTCTATCTTACTTGTTTGTAGTTTTTATACGCTGATCAGTTTGTCATTGAGGAAGTTAGAGCCAAACGAGAAACTCCAGTTCTCAAAGGTTGGATAACCGATATGTTGTCAAGTCGTGAGAAATTGGAAATTTTTAAAGGGAGGCTTGTAGTTTTTGATAAAAAATCAGAAGCTTGTTGGTCCTTTTGGCAGCAAACAACCAAAAATGGTATTTCACTTGTAACCAATACTTAGTTTTTCTATGTCTTTGGCATTGCTTGAAGAATTGAATTGGAACAAATCTTGCTTTTAGGAAAATGATGCAATGTGGTGCTCTTTATAGCACATTAATGGACCTCCTAAATCAGTAAAAAATTATTTGCTCATTTGTCAAATGAGCAATTTTTTTTTGCTCATTTGATACTCTATGTGATTTGGATGAAAATTACACAATTACCTAATTTTTTTTTTTCTTTTTTTTTTTTGTTTTTGCTTGATTTTAGGAACAATCTGATCCAATTCATACAAAAAATGAAGAAATTGAACAAGATTCGAAGAAGGTATTTATATGACTTTTCTGGAAACTTATATTAATTTGCTCATTTTTTGTTTTTGTTTTTTTTTTTCCTAATTTTTGTTATTTTTTTTACTTAATTTGTGAATTTGTATTGTTGTTTTGTGAATTTGGGGATTGCCGTGCGATGAAAGAGTAGGGGGTTAAAAGGTTGGGGGTGTGCGAGTTGTTATGAGGTGAGGGTGACTTTCATGGTGAATATCCTTTGAGTTGTGCATATTAATTGAATCCGATATCATTTTTTTTTTATTTTTTAACTATCAACATATATCTAGTTAATTTAGCCTCTATGATTTTGAAGATTAGGGTATGTTGGGTTGTTCTCTTTACTGAACTCATTGTATAATATCTTGGATTGGACTATTTCTGTTGCTTCTGCTTACTGCTTTGTTTAGTTCATTTATGCTATACTTAGTTAATATCAAGAATTATAGCTATGCCTTGTTTAAATGTCTTTGATTTACCTTTAGCATATAATTTTTAAATTGCTTAAATGCTGAAAATGTCTATTCTTTGGAACTTGAATATGTCATAAGAGGTTTGTGGCTTTGGCATATAACTATGGATGTCCCATACGTAGCTTACCTGTCCTACCCTTGTACCATATTAGTGTCAGACTTCTGCCCAGACCTTGTAAAAATAGTGATTTGTGCCTCCTCACCTAAGCTAACCTATGAAAAGTTGTCTGAATCTACATCATAATTATCAGCCCAATCCCTATCCTCCCTAAGATACATCTTCTGGTTGTATCTTAGGGAGGATAGGGTTAATATCACATTTGTGTACCACATTTCTTTGCTTATTTCACATCTACTTTGCTCATTTCATATTCACTTTGCTCATTTCATATTTTCTCTTTTCATTTATATTAACCTTATTATGTATTTTTTTATTTTTTTTTATTTTTATAGAAATGCCTTATGGAGCTTGCAACAACATCTACAAATCTAGTCTTGGCATACATGGATTTCAGTGAAAAACATGAAACTGCTGTTAAGTATTTTCCAAACAATGAGAAGATTCAAAAGCTGAAGGAAGATGCAATGACTGTTTGTGATGAGCACAAGATGAGCTCTAAAGCTTTGACTGAAGATATTCCTCTCTCATTTAGCCAAGATGAACAGTATTGGCAAGATCTAGCTGTAATTGAAGCTTGTGATAGGTTTTCAAAGATTTCAGGCAATGACAAGCATGCTGAATCTACAATTAATGCTAGGGTTGATCATCTGATTGAATCAGAACCAATTGATGTTACTAAGATTGCTGCTGAATGTGTTCACATAACAAGTGGTATACCTGATGTTGAAGCTCCATCTGTTATCATACAGCCTAAGGTTGCTGAGCATGTGTTTAAAAAACATGGAGAGTCAAGTATGAGATATAGTTTAAGAAGTTAAGTTGCCAAAGGATGTGGAACTCCTTCATTCAGCTTAGGAATCTCTTCTAAAGAAACTAATTCTCAGGAGAAGTCCCCTGGTGTTTAGGGTGAAAATACCCTAAGACACGTGGCCCAATAAAGGCTTGACACGTGTCAATCTTCAAACGGTCTGCAAAGGCCCAATCCCTTTGCAGACACGTGTCCCCTATACCCTAATTGAGGTACAGTTCTCCCTTTCTATAAATAGTAAGGGTAGACCTCATTTATGAGGATACATTAATTGCAACCACAAAAAAAAACCAAACAAAGCCCAAACCTACTGAAACGCTCTCGAACCGAGAAGCTTTTACTGTTCTTATTCCACTTCGAAAAGATACTAACTTAATCTTCGGAGGCGGAACTCCCACCCCCCATCCGGAGTCTCCGTTACTTGTGCAGGTACAGGCGTAAGAAGGAGGTCTGCTAGGTGCAGGTACAGGCGTAAGAAGGAAGTCTGCTAGGAAATTGTAACTCTCCCGAAGGACACATAGAAAACCCCCAAACATCTGGCGCCGTCTGTGGGGAGAGTACTTTCTAGATGACATCTGAGCCTATACTACCTGGTAAAGGCAATCTGCCTACTGGGGAGGTTGAGGTCCATTCGGACCAAGATACAGCCGATAACTATGACTTGGAAGCCTACACTGCTGCGGATGGCTCTTTGAGGACCAAGAACACCCGTTCCAAAGATAAGAGAGAACGGGAAGGGAACCAGGCGGCTCCTAGCAAGCCAACTAGGGGGCCGCTTGGGTTAACCTCTACCGCTGGAGACTCCCCAGTCTCCAGAAATGAGCTCATGAATATGATGATGAGCTTCAAAGGAGAGATCAAAGGCCTTCTGGACTACACAGCCGGCCCCCGTAAGGGTCAGGCGGAAGAAAGGCGTCACGGTAAAAAGACAGCCAAAACAGTAAAGGGTAGAGCATCTACCCCACATCCGAAGTCAGACATGCCAGCTAGGCTCTTTGATTTCTCAAAGATGCACACTCCTATAGATGGAGTCAGAAAGCCCGTCCGGCACATTCAGCCGGATGGAACCAAGAAAGTCTATTCTGATGCCCGGACGCTCATCCAAGATAAAAAGACTCAGCGATCCGAGTCGGCATCAACATCGACCTTTCGAGACAGCTTCAATGCCACCTCAGGAAGGCACTCGAGAACAAACAATGACAGCCGGACGAGCGAGGTTTCCGCTCGATCCGGCCCCCATATGATCCAACCGGCAGTGCATGGAACACCGTATACGCCCTTTGGATCCCCCTATGCACAGGCAGGTATTTTCGGGGGGCAGCATCAGTCGCCCGTCCAGCCTATGGACTGGCAGCTCCGGCTGCTCAACCTTGGGGAACAGCCAACGACGTTCTCTAGAGAAATCACCGAGATGACCCAGCCGTCTAAAATCAAAAAACGTGTTGGTAGGCGCCTACGACGGTACCACCAACCCGGAAGATCACCTTATGGCATACACCAACCTGATGTATTTGCAGGGTTTGGATGATGCCGCATGGTGCCGGTGCTTCCCGGCTACGTTGAAAGGGATTGCTCAACGTTGGTTTGGTAACCTCCCAGCCGGATGCATCAATAATTTCAGGACCTTGGCCTACTGGTTTACGTCCAACTTTTCTATGAACATCCCTGCCAAGAAAACAAGCCTTGATCTAGGGGCAATACAACAGGGAGACAAAGAGGGGCTCCGGTCATATGTCAGGCGGTTTAACCTGATGAGGATCCAAATCCATGGATTGTCTGATGACGTTGCCTATACTGATTTCTTCAAAGGCTTAAAAGATGGATCAACTTTTAAGTTTGACTTGGTTAGGAAGAGGGTCTCCACTCTTCACGAGGCACTCATGAAGGCGGAGGCCTACATTCAGGCAGTGGAATTGTGTGCTGTTAAACTTCCAACGGATTACAAAAGATCCGATAAAAAAGAGAATCGGCCTACCCAGTCGGCCAAAAAGGAAGACAAGAGAAAGGGGTATGGGCGGCAGACTCATCCGGACAACCTTTCCAGAAAAGGAAGAGGTCGGATCCGTATGTGCCAAAGTACTAGTTCAACAAGGACTGTGCCTCCATTCTCAACGAAGTAAAGGACCGGTTGAATCTTGAAAAACCGAGAGAGATAGGGGCGAGGTCAGGCGGCCTCATGATGACCCCATAGTCATCGAGTGCAAAATCGCCAATCAAAGAGTTGGCCGGATCTTGATTGATACCGGGAGCTCATCCGACCTCATCAGCTACCGGTGCTTGGAGAAACTCAAGTATAAGCCCAGTAGCATGCTTCCGGCCTCATACCCTCTTGTAGGTTTTGGGGGAGGAGTAGTACATCCGGTGGCATGATTGATCTACCCATCCGGTTCGGAGAGAAGGGTAAGGGCCGGCATATGGTTGTCAAGTTTCTTGTTGTAGAAGAGCTGACTGCCTACAATCTGATTATTGGCCGTCCAACCCTTAACCTCTCAAAGGCAGTCATCATCCCATCTCTAATGTTGATAAAGTTTGAAAGGGATGATGGCACAGTCGGTTCCTTGAGTGGGGACCAAAAGATGGCGAGAGAGTGTTACCTCTCGGACATCAAACCAACGCTTGACACAGGCGGTCAAGAGAAAGAAATTGTTGAACTTGACGACTGTGATCAAAGCTTACCGGCTACAAAGCCAGCCGGTAAAAAGAGGAAGGCGGACCAACTGGCGCCTGTGAAGGAGAAACAATAGCAATCACTGTCCGGGGAGAGGACAAACGTCCTTCGCCCTCAGCCGGCAGGAGAAATAATTGATGTTGTCCTTGAAGACAGTCGGCCAGACAGAACCGTCAAGGTTGGAACGGCTGTGTTTGAAAGTTTGGGATCAGGTTTGCTCCTTTTTCTGAAGGAGTTCAAAGATGTGTTTGCCTTTGAAGTAGAAGAGATGCCGGGTGTAAGTCCGGATCTTGCTGTACATAGACTCGCTGTGGATCCTAAGAAGAAGCCGGTCAGGCAAAAGAAACGGAACCATGGCGAGGAAAGGTCCCAGGCGGCAGCAACCGAGGTCAAGAAACTCTTGGATGCTGGATTCATCCGGCAATGTTACTACCCGGATTGGGTAGCCAATGTCGTCCTTGTGAAAAAGCCGAATGGAACCTGGCGGATGTGTGTAGATTACACGGACCTCAACAGGGCTTGTCCAAAGGATAGCTACCCGCTTCCAAAGATAGATCATTTTGTAGACTCTATAGCCGGCCATGCCCTGATGAGTTTCATGGACGCCTATTCCGGCTTCCATCAGATACCCTTGTGGAAGAAAGACCAAGAGAAGACGGCTTTCGTCACAGATCAAGGGCTATATTGCTACAAGGTGATGCCGTTTGGGTTGAAGAATGCGCCTGCTACTTTCCAGCGAATGATGAACTCGGTCTTTTATGATCAGATTGGAAGGAACGTGGAGGTGTACATTGATGACATGATTGTCAAATCAAAGCTGCAGGCGAATCATCTAGCCGACCTCCGAGAAACTCTCACCACCCTCAGACGGCATAAAGTCATGTTAAATCCTAAAAAATGCGTCTTTGGAGTTGAGTCCGGGAAGTTTCTTGGATTTTTGATTGATCAGAGGGGCATAGAAGCCAATCCGGACAAAGTACAGGCGGTGATTGACATGCAGTCGCCACGTACCGTCAGGGAGGCTCAAAAGCTTACCGGTTGCCTGGCGGCACTGGGGAGATTCCTCAGCCGGTCAGGTGACAAGTGCCTGTATTTCTTTCAAGCAATCAAAAAGAGGTCAAGGTTTGAATGGGGTGAAGAGGCTGAGGCGGCATTTCAACGGCTGAAGCAACACCTGCATTCTTTGCCAAGATTGGTGAGTCCCCTACCCCAGGAGGCTCTCTACATGTACTTGGCCGTCTCGGATCACTCCTTGAGCGCCGTCCTCCTTGTTGAGAGAGACGGTAATCAGCTCCCGGTATACTTTATAAGCCATGTCCTCCGGAATGCTGAACTTCGTTATCCCATGATCGAAAAATTCGGTCTGGCTTTGTTCAAAGCAGTCAAGCGGCTGAAACCGTATTTTTTAGCACATCCGGTGACCGTTTACACTGATCAGCCGCTCAAAAGGCCTATGACCACTTTAGAGTCATCCGGAAGAATGATTAAATGGGCTGTGGAAATCCAAAGCTTAGAAATCACTTTCGAACCCAGGCGAGCAGTGAAGGGTCAGGCGTTTGCCGACTTCATTGTTGAAATGACAAGGCCAATACAGCCGGATAAAACTGATGAAGTTTGGAGGGTTTATGTAGACGGGAGCTCTACGCTGAATGGTTGCGGAGCGGGTGTAATTATTCACTCTCCGGAGGGGGACAAATACGAGTACGCTCTACGATTCAAGTTTCAAGCTTCGAATAATGAAGCTGAATACGAGGCCCTGCTAGCCGGTATCCGCATGTGTAAGGCGGTCGGGGCAAGGAAAGTTGATGCCTGCTCAGATTCCCAACTCATCGTTAGCCAGTACAACGGTGACTACGAGGCCACCCACCCGGTGATGATTATGTATCTGCAGGCGGTCAAAGAGGAGGCTGGGGCATTTGATGAATTCAACCTAAGTCAAGTACCCAGATCCGAGAATAATCAGGCGGATGCACTATCCAAACTTGCATCCTCCGCCACATGTGATACGCCTAGATCAGTCTTCTGGGAAGTCATGGAAAAGAAAAGCATTGAACATGACCCCATTGGATTTCTAGATCGAAGCTCCACATGGATGGACCCCATCCGGAATTACTTGGAAGACGGCACTCTACCGGAAACCTCATCCGAAGCAGCTGCTCTTAAAAGACGAGCATTAAGCTTCGCAATGCACAAGGGTGAACTGTTTCGGAAGGGTTACTTGCAGCCGCTATTCAAGTGTGTTACCCCAGAACGGGGCAAGGAAATACTGGAAGATCTCCACGCCGGCTTCTGTGGATCTCACATTGGCGGGAGGAC